TGGCAGTCTTAGTTTATGTGAAGTCATTTTCTTTTGCATTGTCCTATATGGTCCTATGTCACCAACAATGACTCCCTTGTTTTGTTTTTGGTCGCTGTTCTTTTTGCTTGTTTGGTTTTTGGTGTGTTCTGTTGTGTTTCTTGTGTGGTCGTTTTTTTGTTTCATTGCATTGTGACGGCCTATTGGACTGTGTACTGGTCCTTCTTCAGCACTACTTTTGCGGCCCATCACCACAAAATGGAGCAATTGTAATGCCATACAATTTTCGGGACCAACCCGCTCCCCCTAAACACACTACTGATGTGGCCACCAACTGATATCCTTTGTTTTTTGGGCGATCTCGTCGAGTAGTGGTATAATGCCCGTCTCAGGACCGTGCATAGACAGCTAGCCGCGGATCGACCCCCTGGGTACTAGGTACGGGGCCGCGATCGTGACATGGTAGACGAGTAAGTCTCAATACACCGCGACCCGCCGAAAGGCACAGGGCGCCGGTCAAAAAAAAAACTGATATCTCTTGTTTTTTACCGTTGTTTTTGCTGTAGTCCTGTTCTGCGTTCTCAGGATCTTGGTCAAAGCCGGGCTCAAGGGTCTAGCCCTTTGGATGCTGTATGGAACATTCCTACCCGCTGGGGCAGGCAAGACGGCAAGACCGGCGCAATTTTTCTGGCCCACTGAACAGAGAACCAAGCAAAGGATGGTTGAGACGCGCTAACCACCTCAATGTCAGACTGAGTGCCTGCATGCAGTTGCAGGCTGCACTGCAACCTTCACTGGACCACTCGGGGCACGATCGCGGTTGGCATTCAAAGCTTCCGAGACACTCAGAGAGAAGAGACCAAAACCAATAAGTGGCGTAAAAGAGGCATTGCGTATGGGTGGTCAAGTCTTTCGAACACCGGGCTAGCTGCTACGCCAGACAGATGGATGGTAAAACTTCTAGCACCGCCTCAAAGGTGCTGCCTAAATCATTTCCGCGCGCATTCACCAGAAGCTCCGCAGAAATCACAGAGGCGACTCATTTTGTCTTGAAAGGGCTGCAGCCCAATCGTGAGCCATGCAAGACATGGCGAGATGGAGTTGATACTGCTGGGATCATGTCAAATGTATGAAGGTGTGCTTGACCTCCATGGCAAATCAGTCATGACATCCGTGGTTGACAGCTCCATTTCACACCCATTATACTTTGTTGGAGTCAAATCCACCATCACACCTTTCATGACTTCACCCAACATACCTGGCTTCATATGTTTCGTAAGTGCATCTGTACTGGTCCAAACTACGGTGGTCGTTGCGTCACTGGGAATCTTGTCAATCAAAAGGGGATTTCCAATCAGCTCACCACACTTGCGCCAGACGTTTGTCCGAAACGTTTTGCAATCCCGCATGGAAAAAGCGAGTAACAATCTGTCACCCACATCACATCAATAGAATCCATGGCAGCAATGAAATCTGGCTCCTTATACAGCGTGTTGGTCAAACCGTGCAGAACATAGCGCAAATGGTCTTCTTCTTCTGATCCAAGAACCAAGCTCAAGGTTTCCGACTGCAAAGTAGAACGGCTCACCCTGTTCTTGAAAGACTTGTCGGTGAGGCACAAAACACGACCACTTTGGCTACAGTAACCCATTCTAGTTCCCGAAGCACTTTGGTCAAAAGCATTGGCATGTGATGCATCTTGAATGGCAACGATCATTAAATCTTCAAAACGACACATGTTTTTGGGATAAAACAAACCATGCCCTTTTGTCCTCTTTGCAAGTGCAACCAAGCTGTTGGCAAACTTGATCTCAGCATAGGTAGCATCATGAACACACGATTGCGAATGACAAACTCCAAAACTCAAATTGGGACGGCAAACACGAGCAAGCCATGCAAGAGAACCCACAATGCTCCGAAGTTGCCCTCGAACTTCTTCTGTGACATGCGCATGGGGGCTCTTCTTCTTGCCAATGTCAAGGTAAATGGGACGAACTCGGTCAATCAAAGAGTCGCAAGCGACTCGAATGCCACCCTTCTCACAGCTGATGTCTCGGCCGCAGTATCTGAAGTTGTCCTTTTCCAACTTGCCAAAGTTGAAACGTTGACAGATCTTTTCCATGACGCGCTCAATGTGAGCACCGCCCGTCCACATGAGATCATCAACATGTGCAATACTTTGACTACCCAGACAAGAGGTTGGTCAGTGATATTTTGCAAGGTTTTCCCATTACTGGTTGGTTGCCAGATTCAAACATTTTTCCGAGGGATGTCAAGGAGCCCAGCCTTGATGTGGGCACTCTGGAGTCCTGAGCAAAGCGATGAACGCCCAGGTCAAGTCAAAAGTCTTGGCAGCCGGCTCAAATGATATGTCAGCAGTCACATGGGCTGAGACGAACAAAGAACTGGAAGAAGGTTGGATGGAGATAGACCCTGGCCAAGCTGACAACGCAGCATGGGCGATGCGATTTGGTTTGCAGCAAAAAGAGAAGGTGAGAGTCATCGATGACTTCAGCATTGCAGGAGTCAATCAAACGACTGGCATGAACGAGAGGCTTAAAATATTTGGCATCGACGACAGTGCGGCGCTCCCTGCACATTCCTTGGATTCGAATGGAGATAAGCATCACCCCAGGATGCTGGGGAAGACAATTGACTTGCGTAGTGCCTATAAGCAGTTTGGCATATGTTCAGCAGACCGAGAACGTATTCGTGTAGCTACGTGTGAGCCGTCAGCCTCTGAACTGGTTCTCCTCTTGGTCAATTCGCTCCCCTTTGGGGCGACTGGTAGCGTTGCTGCTTTTCTCCGCATATCCATGTTTTTGTGGTATGTGGGCATGGCTGGACTCAAACTGGCTTGGACTGCATTTTATGACGACTACACCTTGATCAGCCGAGAAGACTGTGCAAAGAATGCAAGTTGGGCAGCTGAATGCCTCTTCGACATGTTGGGAGTTTTGTTTGCAAAGGAGGGCAAAAAGGTTACACAGTTTGACATGCGTTTCAATTCACTTGGAGTTGTTTTTGATCTTCAATGTATGGTTGACAGACTGGTCTTTGTAGGGCACACAGAATCAAGGAGGCTGGAACTTGCTGAGTCCTTGAAGGACATGCTGGAAAGGGGCGATTACAGTGCCAAATCAATTGAGAGACTCAGGGGTTGACTTTTGTGGTTTGAAAACTTTGTTTGTGGCAGGCAAGCCAACTTTCTCATTTCGTGTTTAGGCAGGTCATATCTGAATCCAAATCCTCGCTTCCCATTGGAGATGATCTCAGAGAGGTCTTGGGAAGGACCCTGACCCGGGTAGAAACTAGCAAACCAGTTGAAGTTTCGAGGAGGATTCTTGAAACATGGCTTTTGTTTACGGATGGTGCATGTGAAAACAAGTCATCCGTTGGTGGAGTGCTGGTTAGTCCGAGAGGACAGCCCATTGCCATGTTTGGCGACACTTTGCCAGCCGAGTTTGAAAGAGTTTTCTACCAGAATTCTGCACATCCCATTTACGAAGTCGAATTGCTGCCTTTGCTCATTTCAATTTTTCTGTGGGGCTCTTGGGTGGACAAAGCACAATTTGTCTGCTATCTGGACAATGATGCGGCCAGATCAGGGCTCATCAAAGGTTCAGGAGCCACCAAACTTGCTGACGCAATCATCCAGCTCTTTTGCGAATCTGAAGCCACGCTGCAGCTGAAATCTTGGTTCAGTTGCCATCACACAGCAACATAAGTGATGAGCCAAGCCGATTGAAATTCGAGCCACTGCTATCACTTGGTTGCCTCAAGGTAAACATACTTTGGGTTGAGATCGCGTCAAAGGTTTCGTCACGCCTGTTGTAAATGGGGCGATGGCGGGGCGTGGACGGATGCTCCCCATTTGCTGTGTAAAAAAGATGGAGCGGCGTCAGATTCAGCTGAGACAACTTTAAAGTTTTAACTTGAATGTGTTTTGTTTGTTTGGTTTTCGCGTAGGTCGATTGCGTAGAATGTTTGCGAAGCGGTTCAATCTTTGGAAATAAGTTTGTTCAATTGACATTTTACTGTGCCAGGATCATGACCTGCTCAATGATGAATTTTACTTGAAATTGTTGCGACTGGCGGCATCCGGGCGCATAGGCTATGCAGCTTGCTCTCCTTCATGCAATGAATATAGTGTACTGAAATTGAAGCCTGGAGGGCCACCAGCCTTGCGGTCACAGGAATTCTTGGACGGCTTTCCACATTTGAATGCGGATCAACTGTCCCGAGTTCAAAACAGTCATATCATGCTATTTCAATGCATTGAAATCTTGCAGGTGATTTTTTCCGCAGGTGGGCATGGTCACTTGGAACAACCTCCATCGGCCATGAGCTGGTTAGAGAACTGCACTCAGAAATGGTTACTTTCTGGAGCATATCACTGTATTCACTTAGCGGCATGTGCATTCGAGCGTGACTGGCCTAAAGCTTGGATTCGATGTTTGCATCATCATTTCAACCGTTGACAGCGTTAGCTTGCACATGCCAACATCCGCCAGGACATCATCCACCACTGGCAGGGGTTCGGGATGAATCAGGTGCTTTTTTTGAGCAGACGAACAGCGGAATATCCAGACCAACTCGCACTTCAGTTTGCAAAAAATGTTATCCCTTTAGTAAAGGGCTCTGGTACAGATTTTTCATTCAATGATTTGTTGCGAGGGTTGCCAACAAAAGGGATTTGGGACACACCCATCGCACAAGTTGATGGGGCGGGGTTTCATTCCTGACCAGACTGGAGTCATCCTTCAACCTTGAAATCTGACATTTTCAAAGAATTTAGACAACACTGGATGCAAACGATTCTTCATCAGAACTTGCATACAGATGTCACGCAACACTTCGCACAGCAACGCCCAGAACCTCCATTTGATGATGACTTGGTGGCACAAATGCGGACCTCGATTGAACAACTGTTGGGCCCCCACAACCTGCAGGCAAACTGGGATGTCCCGCCAAATCAGCCACTTTGTCTTCACATTCTTCAAGAAGCACTTTCAAGAATCATGGATGATCCTGACACGGAGTTATTTCACCATCTCATTGAAGGCGTTCCGGCGGGTTTCTTGCGTAACATCCCACCTTCACATTGTTTTGAGAGCACGGTTGCAACAGATGAGGAACCTCCACCCCTTTTCGTTCACTTTGATGGATGGAGATCGGCCCATGACGATCCGGCCATCACAACTGAGCTGGTCACGGAAGAACTGAAACAGGGGTGGGTGTTTGAATTTCCGGGCACATTGGAAGATGCTCAGGCACAATATCCGGTTGGAGTATCTGTGGGCAAACTTGTTGTGGCAGCATCAACAACTCGACCACCACGCTTGGTGGTAGATTCTTCAGTTTGTGGCTTGAATCAAAACTGCCCTTTGCCGGAGAAAGGGTCCTTGCCTTCAGCCAAAGACTTGATTCGCAGTTTTCCATTGCGGAACTCATCTTCCACAGTTTCTGGCCTGAGCTTGGACGTGAAGAGTGCCCACAAGAGGGTCGCCATTCATCCTTCAGAACATGGTTTAGTTGGATTTTCTTGGCAAGGAAAGATATTATTTACAGGGTTTGTCCATCTGGGGCAACATTCTCAGCTCTGGTGGTCCCGCCTTGGGGGATTTTTGCTTCGAGTTGCCCATCGAATCCTCTACATTCCTCACGTTGGACTGTTGTATGTCGATGATTTCATCTTTGTGCAAGATGCCAAGGTCCTTTCAATTTCTGCAGCTTTACTGGTGTTATTCTTCCGGGTCATCAATCTGCCCATTTCCTGGAAGAAGTGCGAACTCTCACATACAATCACCTGGATTGGCTGGAAGTTTAACTTTTACAGCGGATTGGTGGCGGTGCATCCTGACAAACAGAAAAAAATATTGGATCTGATTTCATCCTTGTTGAAGCACAATCGGGTACCTTTGAAGGTCATTCAAAAAGTAGTGGGCTTGCCATGTGGACCACACAACTATTTCCTTTGATGCGCATCTGGCTCCACCATCTCTACATGGACATGCATAAGATTCCTGCTACCCAATTCAACGTTGACCCTGGATACCGGCACGAGATGGTGGCTTGCTTGAATTCTGATTTGGGTTTTCATTCGAGACCTCCGGGCACGGCAATCCCGATTGGTGGTACGTTAGTAGAAGTGCGACATCGAAAAGTCCATACTTTGGAGGACGTCCTGACCGTCAGATCATCACTTCTTTCAGAGCGTAGAGTTTGGCTACGCATTCGGGATCCTACATCCACAAGACGATTTCTTGGCCCTGGTTCAATTCGCACACTTCAGATGTTTTCAGATTGGATGAATCATATGGCTCCAATTCAGTCTATTTGGCCTGCGCTAGCATGCGGCTTCTATGCTGCAGCGGACGCATGCGCCCATGATCAAATGGCACAGATTGAAGGCTTCATTCAACTTCCCAACAAAACCATTTGGTTTTCAGAACGATTCACTCCGGAAGATTTTTACCAATTGGATGTGGAAGTCAACCACAATATGCAACGTGATATTGTTTGCTACGAAACTTTGGCACAGTTGGCCATCGTGAAACTGATGACTCAACATATCCCTGCCCAACGATATTCATTGCGAATCTCCAGCCCCTCTGACAACACAGGTGCAGAAGCTGGCGTGAACTCCTTGTTCACTACGAAAACTCCTCTGGCTTTCTTTTTGGAAAAGTTGTGCATCACGGCCACAACAACAGGCATTCAACTCGATGCTTCCCACATCAGCGGCAAATCAAACGAACTGGCGGACGCAATCTCTCGATGGAACTTTGAAAGCGACCCACCGGCTGGAGTCGACATTGCGAATCGCAGTCGCTTTACATTGCGCGATTTGTGGTTAGGTCATGCTGGCGTTTCGGTCTATCCCACTCACACTTCCCTGTCTTGGCTTCTCCCCATATGATATCCCATTTCAACTTGCTGAATGAACACACTTGTTATGGAGGTTACTAAAATCTATGGGCATGTTCATTCCTTATTCTAAGATGTTTTCCTCATATGGTTGTTTTGGGGGTTTAAAAATCTATGTGAGATTAAACATCTCAGTGGATGCGTGGTGAACCAACGGTGGATAACATAAACATCTCAGTGGATGCGTGGTGAACCAACGGTGGATAACAGATCCATTGAATTCAGCAAGTTGAAATAATAAAATAAATGAATAATATAAATACTTATATAGTTCTATATTGTAGGTGTTTGTATTAAGTTTAGGACTTTATGGTTTTGGTTATATGCGTTTATATTTTAAGAATATATGTTTGGCCCCGCGTTCTACGTAGCAACATAAGAATGTCTTTCAAGAACTCTGCACTACACTTTGCACTTTACTTTCGCACTCTAAACTTTACACTTCACACTCCGCACTTTACACTTTACACTTTATACTCCACACTCTACACTGCACTTTGTGCTTTACACTCCGCACTCTACACTTTACACTCCACACTTCACACTCTACACTTTACACTCCACAGTTTACACTTTTCACTTTTCACTTTTCACATTACACATTGCACTTCAAACTTTGCACCCCGCAATTTACCCTTCACACTTTACACTCCGCACTCTTCACTTTACACTTTACACTCGGCACTCTACACTTTACACACTTTACCCTTTACACTTTCCACTCCGCACTTTTCACTTTACACTCGACACTGTACACTTTACACTCTACACTCCACACTCCACACTTTACACTTTACACTTTTTACTCCACACTCCGCACTGTACACTATACACTTCACACTCCACACTTTACACTTTGCACTTTACACTCCACACTCCACACTTTCCACTTGACGCTCGACACTCCACTTCTACATTCCGGACTTCGCACTTTACACTGCAAACTCTACATTTTACACCCCGCACTTTGCACTCCACACTCCACACTTTAAACTTCACACTCCGCACTCTACACTTTCCACTTTACACTCCGCACTCTACACTTCACACTTTACACCCCACAATTTACACTTTACACTCCACACTCCACAATCCCCACTTCACACTCTTCACACTACATTCCCCCCTCAACACTTTACTTTCTTCACCCTCCGCACTTTACCACTTTACACTCTACCCCATTTGACATTCCACAGTCAGTGCGCTGGTACGGTAACAGCAGGAAAATGTACAAAAGTGTTCAAACAATTTGTTTCATAAAAATTCACAAAAGTGTTCTACGTGACTGCATTCGGGTGTGTGGGCTGCACCTTGTGTTTTTCCATTCTTTCAATGTGAAAACTGGTGATGTTCCGGGGCCGTCTCAAAGATGACGATAAGGCGCTGGTTTCAGTTTGGGGTTTGTAGCGTAGTCTCGTTTGGTTTCATGTTCACCTTGCTGTTTTCGGTTTGATGGTTTGTTGTTTGCACGGTGATTTTTTTTGCGTAGTGGTCAGCGTTTTGCATGTCACACCGTGTGCCGAATAGTGTGAAAACAATGGGCGATATCGCTTGGGTACCTCGTAGAAATTGGCATTCTGTTTATTGTGAGATTGGCCCCGAAAGAAGACGCTGTGGCGTCGATCCGTCACGATTGGAAAACACTGGTGTGAAAACAAGGTGCGTTCTTCTTTGCGTTTGCCTTCATGCCATCATGGAAATGACGTGCCCGAACATGTAAACAATCTTGTGGTGCGATCAGAACTATCCATGGATAGACCCTGTGGACAATCATTTGTTTCCATAAGGTATTCACGCCGGAATTCTTTGTCGGTATCAGCAGAGGTCAGGGCGAAATGTTGGCAATATGGAATTTGGGCCAAAGACGTCGAAAACCACAGAAACAAACACCACATTGCAGTTCGATCGGTTCATTTTACCGCAACCAAAAATGCCTGAAATTGAGACAATGTTTTTACTTCAGGATTTTTTCGGTTTAATTTTTTTGGAAACAATTTAGATCCAGTTTTCAACGTGGGTCTGCCATGCCACAAAGGGACGATGTCCGCGAACACAAGGTGCATGTCACATCGACCTTGCCGACCCATTTGGAAAATAGTTTCATGGCTTTGTGAAATTTCAATGGTGAAAATACTTGGAGTACATGATTTTCATGCGACTACCACTTCGGAACACATTTTAGCCAATGAATTTCAAACGTTTTTACTTGATGGATTTGATAGAATTTGTGGTATGTCAGGTGAGGCTATCTTTGCCATCGTTAACGGTCATTGAAAGATCAGGCGTGGAAATCAGTGTGCAACATGGTGCAACGGTGCAATGTCGACATTTGAACTCACTTTATTTTGCATCCCACTCGGAGCAATGTACGTTGGAATCATGCGAGCAGGGTCAGTGCCAATGTTGCGAATGCTAGGTTCCGAGAATTGCGCTCCGTGGGGTTTCTTAGAATGGTTCTCAACAATGGTGTTGTGATGTTTGAAATTGAAACTTTTGAAATCAAACATGAATTGTAAAAATTTGAATGTTGAAATGTTTGTTTCAAAAAAAAATGTTTGTTACTTTTGCATTGTAGAAGGCATGAATGCGAAAGAAGGAACATTGTTTTTGACAACTCAACAGCATTGTTGAAACCATCATAAACAGATTTGAATGATATGTTTCCTCCCAAGGCCTGTGAATTGCCAAACAGATCGCTCCCAGGGCGGAATCCAGAAGGCCACAGATGTGCAGCGTACCACACAGGGAACAGCATCGGCCAGCATCAGCCATTGGTTTTGTTCGCGAGGCTTTGGGGGAAGTCCATGTTGCCCTCAAGGCGAGGTGGAGTGACAAGCTGAGAAGATTTGACTTGGTTGATGTTGGTTGATGTTGGTTGATGGTTTCGCAGTTTCACGTTGATTTTTGTCCAGCACCTAGCATGTGGCATGCTATATAAAGTATTCCAAATCTTAGTCGTGCCCAAAAATTAACACATTTTTGTGCCATGTCAAACGTGTCTCGACATGTCCAGTAATATCCAGTAATTATGATTTTTTTTTTTTTTTTGTGGCATTTTAGGCATTTTTTTTTGTTGGTTTTTTTCATCATATCGCACTACGAATTGGCTTGCCCAAACTGCCAATTTTTCGAGACATTTGCTTCTGTTTCACACAATTTTGATTGTTTTTTAATGGTCGATTTTGAATCAAAAATTTGCTGTATCCTGGTAAAATTTCCCGAGCTGTTTGTCATGTTCCATCGGATAAAAGTCTCCATGACAGAATGTGGCAATTTGCATGGGGCTACCGCTGCTTACTTTGGGTTTTAGGCAGGGGTGAATGCAGTAACCCGCCCATTCGGATGTTGAATCAAAAAGAGCAGGCGTTGTATGCTGTTGCTGTTGCTGCTGCTGCTGTTGCTGCTGCTGCTGCTGTTGTTGTTGTTGGTGTTGTTGTTGTTGTTGTTGTTCATACCTTGAGTTTAACTGGATATCAGAAGAACTATAGAATTGTCAGTGGAATTCACCAAGGGAAATAAGTAAGTCTGCTCATATATGCTCATATATTAAATATATGCATGATTGCTTAGTAAATATAATCAAAACATCTAATATAACAATTTCTGTATATGTATATATATATATGTGTATATATATATGTGTATATATATATATATATGTATATATAATTATGTATATATAATATATATATATACATAATTATATATATATATATATATTCATGTATACATATATACATGATATATACATGTTTCACACTGGAGTTCTGTAGGCCTCAGAGCAGCTATTGCGCCCACGCATCTCGCCGCGGCCGCTGACCAGCCGGGAGAGCCGAGGTCGCGCCGAGAAAATTCGGCTCTTCCATTGGTTTTCCATGAGTTTTCCACTGGAATGAAACAATGGGATGATGTAGAATGTAGATGTAGGGATTGTTGTTTTTTTTTGAGATCTAGTTCTTGCTGGAGAATGCAGATTCTGTTTGTTTGCCGAAAACATGCAGCAACAAGATCGTTCCGTTGTTAAGAAGCAGGGGCAGAATGGCAAGTAATCAGGAAGTAATAGGCTGAACTCAGAAAAATGGATCGCAGATGATTCCTCTCGTGTGACGTTTAGGATATCAATTTGGCATATTTTGGCATAATATCGGGTTGTGCATCGCATCTTATGCCGTGGTTTCCCAGGGTTTCTTCAAAGGTTTGGGATTCAGCAGCTGCACAAGGCGACAGCGGAGCATCGCCGAGATTTCACAAAGATCTGGCAGAAGTTCCAGCGGTGCCCAGTTGGCTCCGACAGCCACAATGGAAAACTCGAAGCTCAGGCCCGGGGCCCAACTGGGGCCCAACGCCGAAATGGATCCACTTACTTCACCATGTTGGGCCTGTTGGGCTACAGGACTCACGCGACGTCGTGCAGACCTCAGGAGATTGTGACAGAAAAACCACAGTGACCATCCAGTGACCACTGGTCAACCACCCAGTGGCTACCTGCGGCCATTGCAGCCATGGCAGGCATGAGTACTGGCTCGATTGCACCAGGTGGAAATATGGAGCAAAACATGGCACACATTTGGCAAATCCATTCAGACATGGAAACATTATACATGTGTAAAAAAACATGTGAAAGTTTGATTCTAATTTGATTGTGAATACGTTCAATCTGATTTTGGGCATGGAGTTTTTTGCGCCAGGCAATTCAGGCAAGGAGTTGCCGGACGCAGTTCGGGCCCTGCAAGTCTCGACTGTTCAGCAGGTACACATAGCTTGGGTCCTGACGGGAAAAGCTCCGGACCCCAGGTGTCCGGCAGACCCACTGCGCTGGCGCAAGCGCGATCCTTGCACAAGGAACATTTCTGGGGAACGTGCATGACAATCTTGAGGATCATGAGCATCAGGGTGAGGTGCCGAGGTGCCAGATGTCTTTGTTCACCGGAATCATTTTTCTTTAAGAAGAAACTCATTGGACTTGCGCGCAAGGAGATGGTTCAAGCAGAAGAACGATCCAGGAGCTGTGATCCTTCACTCTGAATTTCCGTGTGTGGTGAATCCATGTGAATCCAAAAATTAGAAAAAAAAACAAATTGAATCATTTTAGGATGTCCCTGGCCTTGGAGGCAGTTCAGCCTCAGCATCTACAAGCGCCTTGGTCAGGCTGTCATGTCCCCCGACCCCGGACGTGAAGCACCAAGCGTATCAAGCAGTATCAAACAGTACCAATCACCACAACATTCACAACATTCACAGCATTCACATCACTGGTTCAGGTGGCTTTAGCCTAGTGAGATGTGGACCACGGCCGTGTCTTGGGGTCCCAAGATACATCAAGATGCGCTGAGATGCGCTGAAATGCGAAACAGTTCTCTAAGTTCTCTAAGTTCTCTAAGTTCTCTAAGCATCCCAAGACTCCACCGATCCAACAGTTTTTTAGAGCCGACCTGGCTAATTCAGTGCCAAATTCGAGCCGGTTTTTTAAGAGGCTGTGCAAGAGTTATCATCCAAATCGAGATGTGTCACCTGTTTCATAGCATCGGTTTGGAAGCATTACTGAGACCAAAAGTTGAGATTCTTGTGCCACGTCTTTTGATTTCTTGTGGATCTTTGTGATAGGTTGACTTGACCTTGCAGACTCTTTCGGCAGATTCACGATGCACGGTGCTTCACGGTGTCCTGGTTTCGTTCATTTTGCTCATTTCGTTCAGCTTCTTCGTTGCCTTCGTTGCCGTTTCTTCCCGAGTTTTTTTTCCGTTGCGTTTCACCGCGAGGAGCTCAGAAATGCTGTCACGGCATGCATCCACAGGAATGGAGCCTAACCCGAGACCAGAACAATTCAAATCTTTCACATCTTTCACTTTGATTCTCAAACTTGGGGTCACAAAGGTACCTTTTTTTGATGCTTTTCATATTGCTTTTCATATTGCTTTTCATATTGCTCCATAGTCTAATGCATGTTTTGCATGTTTTGTGAATTCCTTCCCGCAGAGGGCGCACATGGCCTTGACGAGACAGGCCTCTGCCGCTGATCTTCAGTTGGCCGTTTTGACGTTTTCACATGACGTTTTCGCAACATTTTGTTCAGCCTTAACATCATCAACCACATCAACATCAACACATGACCTGTAAGAAGACATCTTTGCGACTGTGAATTCTACGACTCAGGACGTGAATGCAGATGCATCCTGTGTAATTCCAGTCAGATGCATCGTTCGGCGCTCAGCTGCCTTTGGGTGATGTGGGTGATGGGTGAAGAAAGCAGAGAGAAGAGAACGTGTTTGAGAACGTGTTCATTTTGTGTGCAGGACATCCAGGATATTGCAGGATGACAATAGATATGACAATAGATGAAGAGCGGGCCATGAGTCATATGAGTATCATATGAGTCATGGCAGTTGTGGGACGCCATGCAGATCTTTTGCAGATCGCAGGTTGATACCTGACCGTGCGCAGCCATGGCCGCCATACTTGGCGCCTGGGGTAGCCATGGTGACGTCGCCGATGTCGACCTCGAAGGCCTCCACGAAGACGTCCTCGCCGTCGTCGCCGCCGTCGCCGTCGTCGTCGAAGTTCGCGTTGACTCGGCGGCTCTTCGGCATCAGCCAGGCCCTCAGTGCCACACCAGTGCCACACCAGTGCCACGTACCGTGACACGTACCGTGACAGGTACCGTGACAGGTACCGTGACAGGTACCGTGGCACGTACCGTGCCCGCAGCCGTGGCAACGCCAAGTGACAATCGCCATGCCTCGCCTGAGGTCGTGAAGGAAAGTGGAAGGAGGTCGCGGTTCGGGGACTTCGGGGACTTCGGGGACTTCAGGGACTTCGGGGACTTCGGGGAGTTCAGGGAGTTCAGGGCAGGTTTTTTTTTGAACTTTTGGTGACTTTCAATGTAGAGTGTAGAGATGACATTTGAGCATATTTGAGCATATTTGAGCAACAGGTCAAGTGTGAAGAACTGAAGAACATTGCCATTGTTTGGCCCTTGTTTGGCCATGTCTTGTCTGTGAGCGCTGTGGACATCTGTGGACCGCGATGTGGCTCAAGAGCGAATTTAAATTCTTTGACGTGGCCCATCAAGCACCAAAGCATTTGAGAGGTGTGGAGCTGATCTTTGGGCGGAGTCTTGATCCTTTGAATTCCACTTCCTCTGACCTTTGTTTGACCTTTGTTACCTTTCGAAAATTGATGAACATTTTGTGTTCAACATGTTGAAATTTCATGAAATTTCAAATTTGTCTGTTTTCAACCAGATTTCATCCAGGTGAAGGCCATGGCTGAGAATGCCGCGCAGACAATTTTGGATGTGCTGATCTCAGCCGCATCACCTTGCAGGATCTACAGATGGGGTAAGAAAAGAAGCGACCGTATGCGACCGTATCCTTTTTCTATCACACAGCTCTCTATGGTGTTCCAATTTCTGGACAACTACCAGTAACATCCAGTAACTATCTGACCAGATCTACCAGGTGAATCCTGATTTTTGCACTTGTCGGCACAGGTCAAGTCCGGAGAAGCTAAGGGCAAAAAGAAGGTGCCAGAAATCGAAGACTTGTCGAACATCAACAAAATATCAACAACATATCAACAATTGCAACATATCAACAAAATTCAACAAAAAAATCAACAAATATCAAAGATATCAAAGATATCAAAGATGATGTGATATTATGATATGATCCTGATCCTGTTGAAAGATGAGGCATGACAAAACATGTTGAGGCATTTGTGTGCTCTCTGGACCTGCAGATTCACGCCACCAGAATATATGAACATTCCGTTGTCACAATTGATTTATGATGAAAAAAATAATGAGTTCTTAATGAATTTTATGAGTTTTGATAGTGTTGTTGAATGTTCTGAATGATTCATGATGAGTTTGTGCCACAGACGAGCGGGAGAGCCAATGCGAAGGCGGCAGGAGCACAGTTTCCAAGATATGGGTATGGATCAATACCTATTAATACCATTTTCAGTGGGATGAACATCCATTTACCAGCTATTTTGATGTTCACCAGGGGTACATATGGTGGACATGTGGCGGAGATGTCTCTGGATATCTGTGCACACTGTCAGTTCTTTCACCGAACATCAATTGGATTCAGTCGGATTCAATTGGTGTTGGAATGAAATCGTTTAAACATCGTTTAACATAAATTAACTTACCCTCTGGTGAACTAACATAGCAATGGAAAATCACCATTCTTAATGGGAAAATCCACTATAAATGGCCATTTTCCATTGCTATGTTAGTTCACCAGAGGGTAACAATAAATTTCTGTTCACCATTTATTCACATATTCAAAAATAAATGGTGAACAGATGTGAACAGCAATGGGAACCAGTTCAGTGGAGTTCAGAGCCACAGCTCAGCTCCATCTCTGACTTCAGTGACTTCAGGGCAGCTGCGGCATTCCCTGTTTGAATTCGTGTTTAAATCGTTTACCCTCTGGTTATGACTAACATAGCCATGGAAAATCACCATTTTTTAATAGGTAAACCATCTATAAATGGGTCATCTATACCATGGCTATGTTAGTCGTAACCAGAGGGTAATCGGAGAGATTTCGAGAAATTATTGAGATGATGTGAATCGATAGCCCAGTACAAAGGGCTTTGACAGGAGCTGGAGGATCCTACTTCTTGCCCCCGCAGGCGTGACACTTTCAACGATATGATATCACTTGATATCACGTACATCATGATGCAAACGCAAAAGACGTATAATGTTCAGTATGTTGCAGTATGTTGCAGTCAGACATCTCCTGTCATGCCCAGAGAAAGAGATGTTCCGAGTCTCAAAATGAAAGAGTCGGAACTGAGTCGGAACTCGGAACTCTCGGGACTCTCGTCGTTGAGTTGGGCTCCGGATTCCTGGCTCCTGGCAATTCCTGGCAGGCACAAGTGTTACAGACCACAGTGCAGGCGCAGCATGGCGCAGCCATATGTTGCAGATATGTGCCATATGTGCCAGATGGAGAATGATCATGGATGATGGAGATTCTATGCGAAGACATTATGTAAAGCATTATGTGAAGACATTGCACAGATTGTTGTAAAGGTCCACTTAGCGGACCCGTAAGCACGCAGACCTGATGAGACCCGTATCTACACTAGCTGCAACAGTAGATCAGATATGGTATGACATGGCATGATATGGTCACTCAATGAACATCACCACATGAAAAAGACATCTTAGGAGTGTAATAGAAGTTGCTTTCGGTTTTGGTATTTTTTTGTGTAAAGACGGCAGCTTCATGATTCATGTAGCTTTGCCTTCGGCCGTTTTTGGTGCTGCGTTGACGATGAGACAGGTGCCACGTCGCTTTCCTGGCCACTTCATGCCCCACAGGCGCTTGACTTATGCAGCTGGATGAAATGATCCAAAATCAAGATTTATTGACCTGAACGGATCTGAATTTGACCTGAATTCTGCCTGGACTTTGGATTCTTTGGCTTTTAGTTTGGATTCCGGCTTCGGCCACCGCCTTTTCCCTGGAACATTCCGCCATTCCGACCTGCGCCTTGGTGATAGGCTCTGCAACCATTGGAATCTGCAAGGATGGTGCAAAAAGGCAGAGGTGCAACTCATTTGGACATCCAGTGAGTCATCCAGTGAGAATTCATGAATTCTGCTTCTTCATTAAAGGATTCTCAAAGGTTCATTGAGCGTATTTGACGGTATTTGGGTCATGGATCACGGATCAGTGTCAGAATGCGTCAACTCCATCCAAATAATATTACTGTAAATATATATATCTAAATATCCATTTTCATCATTTTTCATCCATTTTCGCAGAAAACATTGGCCGTTTGAAGTGGAAACGATGGTTTTCCGGCTGAAACGATGAAGTTTGGAAACAGCGAAACTCAGTGATTTCCATGGGATTTCCATGGGATTTCCGCGACCTGCCAGACCTGCACCTTTGCTCATGGGATCGAAGAGTTGCACCCCGATGTTCAAGCTCAGCTGCTCCAGCAGAAGTGCCTCAGCTGACGACAATCTGAAGGATCCATGAAGGATCCATGAAGGATCCATGAAGGATCCCAGATCCATCGATCCATCTTCAGATCTTTGAAATTTGGAGATTTCATGAGATTTCACGAGACTTCAGGGGCATTTTTTGTTTGAGCAACAGTGGACTCGGTGAAACCGGTTGGTCATGTTATCAGTTCCGTGAGGCCCGGAATGCCTCCACCGACCGTAACGAAAGACGGTCGACTGGTGGCACCTTGCCGTCACCGAAAAAGGGATGCTTTGGAAGTGCCATGTGGAACCAATGCGGATCTCAGATTTTTTTTCGATATCACAGGTATTCACAGGTGGCAGAAGTCGACTTAAGATGGTTTAAGTACTGTTTAAGTATATTTATAAAATGGGTATTTACCCACAATTCATGAAATGCGGTAAAAGAGTTGGATGATTTTTGGTCGAAACTGAGGTACATGGTGTGACAAAGCCTGCAGGGAAGGCTCGTTTCTGGAAAGAATGTGAAGTACCCATCGTTACATCAGGGCGCCAGCCATGTTCTGGCAGGTTGTGGGTGGGGAATTGCCTGGTTCACTTCTCAGATGCAGATAGCATCAAGGTTTGCGTCAAGGTTTGGAGGTCTATGTCACGACAGGGACACCCAATCTTTGATGAAAGGATGAAACAAAGATGACTGTCGTGAGACAGAGCTAAGCTGCCTAGGCTACTCGATGCAAACGCTGACCAATATCTATACGGCTGGACAAAATTCCGTTCTTGGTCCAGGCCTGCCTTGGCAAGCCTTGGTGGTCCACCACCTTGACACAATGACATATCATGTGACATATCTTCACCCTCCTTTGGATGGAAGTGCGAATATGAGGGAATGGTTTCTATTTTTCTGCTTATGCACCAAACTGCATCAAGTTCTGGTTACACGGCTCTTCACTTGAAAGTTTGCACTATTTCTGAGGCGCACTCCCATTCAACGGCACCACGAGCTACCCTTTTAATTTGACAGGCACGGTCGTGTCAGGTTCTCCAAGTGGCCCAAGACAACATCTTCAAAATATCAACGTATCATCTCTCAAAATCCTAAACTCATGTAAACTCCGCAGATGATGTTGAGATATGTTGAGATATGTTGAGATATGTTGAGATATGTTGAGATATGTTGATATGTTCAGATCACCGGATATCGATGCCATCAACATGCCATCAACGGGTTCAATGGGTGGTTTCCAGGATCTGCGACCGCCCGCCTCGTCACATCCCTGGTGCCAAACGTTGACAAGGACCCGACAGCGATCCCTCAAATTGCTGATAGAAACTTGCTGCCCCTATTTCTGTTTACATGGTTTAGTATGGTTTAGTCATTTTCAACATGGCTCAAATGGCTCACATTGCCCAAGTGTGTGTTATTGTGTGTTCTTTGGATCCTACAGTTTGCACCAGGAGAATGAAGAGGCGGTGGTAAAGGGGGGGAAGGAGTTTCTATTGAAATATTTTGAAATATTTTGAAGTATATACAGTATATCAAGATATATCAAGATATATCAAGATATATCAAGATATATCAAGTACATCAAGTACATCAAACATTCCTGAGCTTTGAAGGTGCCAATTGGGCAATTGGGCGATGTTTGTTTCATTGGAAGTCTTGGAGTGTTTCCTGGCCTGTCTGTCAATACATTTGGTACAGGATGTATGTGAACAGTATGCTCAGTATGCCTATGCATTGTATGCCTTTGCGGAGCACAACTCAGTGCCATTGTAGGCCATTTTGCTGTAGCGAAATCGACACCAAATGCCAACGCTACGCCGCTACGCGCTACGCCAGGAACCTCCTGAACAAGAAAACACCAGCTCGCCAGGCCACCCTTGGCTGTGGATATCTTCCAGATACTTCCAGGGTGATGTGGATGGCGGTGGATACCAACTGATGTCACAGGCACGCCGACCAAGCGTCACCGCCCTGCTCCTCTCTCGTGTTGGCCCAAGACGCACGCAGTTCTTTGCCAAGAAAAACATTATTCGAACGAGACTCTGTAGATACTAATGAGACATGACGAGACTATATAGATACTATGAATAGATACATATAGTCATATATCATATATAGATGTCATATATATATAGATACATGAATGGACACCCATATGGACCCTAAACAGTTTGAGTTGCACAGTACCGGCCTTTTGGACCATCTTTTCTGTGGCTTCAGGTTGGACGACATCGCTGAAGGAAATGGACAAGCTATGATGGTGCGACCACTCGTGTCTCCTACCGTCGGGAAGCTAAGGGTGCTCGTGGTGTGGCTTTAAATTGAAACACGGAACAAACAGACAGATATAGACAGATCATATCTGGAAATTTCATGGATATTTCATGGATGTACTGTACTATAATATCTGTCTCCCCATATAATATCTGATGAACATATCTGGGGAGCTCTGGCGATCCACGGATCGGACCAAAAAACCAGACGGATCCGCCGAATTGGCGCCGTTGGCGCCGCGCAGGTGGCATCGCACTATACCACGATTTGCACTCAGCCAATGGCTTCGTGGTGGCCTCAGGACAAGTTGGACAAGTTGGACAAGTTGGACAAGTGGGACAAGTTTTTTCAGATTTTTTCCAAAAAAACCGAAGATTTTTGAAGATCACCTCTGCCTCTTTTTCATCCTCTTTCATTTTTTTTCCACTTTGCTCGTGTCATCTGACATTGTTTGGTCATTTGAATCATTTTTTCAACACAGTTTTTATCCATTCTTAATCATTCTTAATCATTCTTATAAAACAATTAATCATTCTTATAGATTTTCCATGATTTTCCTCTTTCCGGAGAATCGGTGCCACGTTCGCAGCGTTTTTGCAACGCAACGCGTTGCGTGAGGCCCATGCGCGTCTCTGTGGTGTCCAGGTCATCACCTTGGTCAAAATTTATCAACGTTATGGAAAACTTATGTAAGTTGTAGAATGTTATAGAAGTTCTGTAGCTAAGGATAGCTTCAAAGTATAGCTTCAAAGCTGGAAAGGATTGGAAAGGTGATTCAGTGATGCAAGATGAATGTTGAACATGGAAGTTGCAATGTGTTTTTCTTCCGCATCTTCCAGATTTTTTCAACAGTATATAACCATAGTATATAACCCTAGTATATAACCATAGTATATCACCATAGTATAGTTTTTCACCGACTTTTTCAACAGTTCTCAGCATGGCCGAGGCCTTTACCTTCGCCGATCTCCACTGGTTTGACGCCCACTGGGACGATGTGCGCGCGTGGATCTTAGGGGCGAGTTTAACCACCATTGTTTTCACCATGCCATACATAGTGAAAATATGTGAAACTATGTGAAAATATGTGAAATGATCAGGAAATGATCAGGTTGATGTGAAAAAATGATAAGAACATGTTTTTGCTCGGAAAAACGAGAAGGTTGAAAGACTTGGAAGACTTGGAAGACTTGACTTCCGCACTGAGATGCACGAGGTCCAACATGGCTGCCTCCGTGGCAATGGCAGCGATCTCAACACCGAAGACAAGCACGGCCTGGCACCCGGTCGCACCCGGTGGCACCTGGTGGCTGGTGGAGACCTCCGTGATGCCTCGGATGTTGGATGTCGGATGTGAGGTCCCTACATCTTTGACAAGCCCAGTCAGGGTCGCCTTCCAAGTGTTGGCACAGTCGGATACTGTCACGATCTGTCACGATCTGTCACGAATGCTCATCCGGTTCTAATATGTTCTAATTTCTAATTCAAACTGGATTTTGTGTTCTAAATTATGAAGTTCATCTGATATCTTATAGCTTTATATAGTTCCACACTTCAGTGCCTGCAAGATCATGGTATTCAACTGTGCTCTATCTGGTTTATCTGGTCACAGGGAGACCAAGTTTCTGAAATCGCATCACTTCCACCGATTTCAAAGTTGGCAGGTGACGCAGAGCTACACATGCCGCACTCCCACGGGTTTGGTTTGGCACAGGGACTCAGACAACCTGGGAGAACTGAAGCGTGACCTGTGCGTCTAAGAAGCCTCGGCTAAAACCGGAGATGTTGGAATTTCGTGATCATGACTGCTCGTGCAACGATATTCCACATACGATATCATGACATTGCAACGCGCACACACACACACAGAGGATATACAAATGATATCGTCATCATCATCATCATCATCATCATTATCATCACCATCACCATCACCATCATCACCATCACCATCACCATCACCATTTTTATTTGTTGTTGTTCGTGTTTGTGTTTTTTTATTGTTGTTGTTGCTGCTGCTGTTGCTGCTGTTGCTATTATGGAAGATATACACACTTACAGTGGACAGGATACGTGAGAATTCTTTGGCAATCTTTCCCATTCTGAGGCCAGCTTCTCCAGCCTTGTGCGGACCTCCAGCTGGTGAAGACATGGATGAAGCTGGATGAAGCTGGAATCGCCAAGATATCCCCAAGCCATTCCATCGTGTGATGTTATGAACTGTTATGAAGTGTTATGCATTCTATTCATTTTGGACACATTGGACACATTGGACAGAACTCGCCTGGAGCCAGCAGCTCCATTCTAAGGGTGTCTCCAAAGAATCCTTCGACACCAGCGCCCTGGATGCCGATCTTGGAGAGATTCCAGAGAATTTTTGGTAAAAGAATTACATGTCGCGTTACATGATATTACAATGTATATATAGACATATATATATATAGACATGCGCCGCGAGGAAACTCAAAGGGTCGAGCAAAAAAATATTGTGTATATATATGTATATAATGTATATACACATATATCAATATATGACATAGGTGTCCTGGTGCCTGGTGCCATGGGACAGTCGGCCACCTGGAACACCCCACAACGATGACCATTCTCAAGGAAAACATAGGCACAGGGTCATCAATCTCCAAGACCTGCGAAACCAGAACGAACTTGGCAGCATTTGGTTGATGTCCTTAACCATCACAACTATGCACGTACGAACAATGTACCATGAACATCTGTGAACATTTGTGAACATCTGTGAAGTATGTATTGAAGTATGTTTCTATGTTTTTCTATGTGTTTCTGTATGGTTTTGTACGTCTGTGGTGGACACTGAGGTGCCAATCGACAGGAACACGTTGCTTCAGGCTAGACAGATGGCCGTGCGCATGGAAAAGGGACCTCCAGGTTTGGCCATGTGGGGAAACCTGGGAAGCAGCAGCAATGAGCAGCAATGGGGAACATAGGGGAACTGGTTCATCCTGCTGTTCCTGCTGTTGATCCCCGTATTTTGAACCCAACATGCTAAGGTGGGCACCAACTCCGACAACAAAGGTATTGCTCTCATGGGCTGTGGACATGGGAATGACTTACCGACTGATTAGGACTTTCCACTTCAAATGCCAAGTATTTCAAGGTTGCCAAGGTTGACCCTGATGCTGACATATTTGGAGAACTTTGGACATATCTTGAGCTGGTTGGTCCGGTGTTGCCGGGTGCTGAGGCAAATCTGCTTGGCTTTCGCTACCCCGAGCCAGGCGGGGGAGAATCCGAAACTTGCCATTTCTGGAGTGCGAACAGTGAGAAGAATTGAGAAGGATACCAGGTACACGAGGCACATGGAAGTTACATCTGAAGTTACTAAGTTGGAGTGGATGCGTCAGATTCCATGAGATCATATGAGATCGCAGATTGAATGTTCAAACTGTTTGATCGTCAGATCTATGTTTGACTCTTGTGGTCATCAGATCTCTCTGTCACTGTCAGCACTGTGAGCACGCTGTCGCCAGGGTACATGTCAGTGGCACCGCGCACATGAAATGTACAGACTGCACGGACGCTGTGTGTAGCCCACAGCAGTTCAGTTTCATAAAGAAGCGGCAGAATTCGAGCATTGCCGGGCTTTGATCTGCTTGATCATCTTGATCTGAGAGCGAAAGCTGAGTGATTTGAGCGATGCGCTCTCTTGCGATCACCAATTTGGTGTTTTGGTCGGCCTTGCAATGCGCTGCAATGTGTAGTAAGTTAAGTCCTTTCGGTCCTTTTGCTTAATCCTTGCAGCCTTGGAAGGGGACTCAAACTCTTAAGAGACCGGTGAAAACCGGTGCTTTCAAGCGCCCCTTTCGAGGATCTTTGCATGTTCGGGTGTAATCGGCACCCGTGTGCTGGTACTTGTTAACCTGTCATACCTGTCATACCTCGCACATTTCAGACGCTTCGAATCGCTTCAAATCGCTTCGAGGCTCCTGAGGGTGATGAGAGTGACAGATTGTGGCAGTTACTGTGACGAACCGCGACTGACCATGACAAATCCTTAATTCTAGGTCAGGCAATGCGGGTTTTGTCGATTCTGGCAATGAATTGCAAGATGAGCTGTGCAAAGATGCGCATGCTCGCAATGACCCAGTTTTGTCTTCAGAAGCGTCAGATCCAAATGGATCCTCGTAGCATCCAGGTTTATCATATAACTCATATAACACACTAATGATTTCACTGTTGCACAATATATGATATATATATATAACAATATGACAGAGGATTTGATTCGCACCGGTGCGGTGGATCAGTGGGTCAGTAGTTGCCAGTTGCACGCCAACTGAAAAGTGCACGTTAGTTATGACGGATCGACCGTCTCAGTTTTCCCGGCACAGTTGATCTGCGCCCGGGATCATACGAGAGCCATGACGGTCTTAAAAGTGGTGACCCCTGGTAACACAGTGAAGTTTGGGCTCCAAAGAATGCGAAGAAACAGAACAAAGAAGGAGTAAAATGATGTAAGATGAGTAAACGGCAATTTTCATGCAAGAAATGGACAACTATTGCAAAATAAGGCGACATCACAGATTTTTCATTCATTTGATTTACAGGAGCTGATGGTGTTGGGGTTCGCAAACTATTGCTGAATCGATGCACCACGTGACTAGAATTCCTTGGATAATGTGCATGGCTGATATTAGATATGAGATATTACCTACAACATTGCATGTTGATTCATTTTGAATCATTTTGATATGATTATATAGTCTTATAAATCTTATGAGTATGATACAGTATGTATCTAGATATATGATATATATATATATAGATTGATACAGTATATATATATATATGTACATTATATAAATCTAGGGGTTTTAGATCTTATTTCGTGTCATTTCCTGTTATTTCTATTACTGAGAGGCCTTGGACTTCTTATGTCATGGCCTTCTTTCCAAGCGGCTGCGCGTGGATGCGGTGATGTGCCACTTGGAAAATTCATGGTGGCTTTGAAGATCACCTATTTTTGATGGATAATAGTGGTTAATGATGGTTAATGATGGTTAATGATGGTTAATAGTGGTTAATAGTGGTTAATGATGGGATTTGGTCTGATTTGTTCAGATGTGTTCAACCATATTTTTGTGCCTTGGGGATTTTGAATATTTTTTATAGATCTCTAGATTTATGGCCGAAGAATGACCATTCCATTCGATGGTTTCCCAGGCGACGGAACCAAACTCAGCTGTCAGTCTCGACGGAACCAAACTCAGCTGCCGAGCTGAGGTAGTGCCATGTGTGCGGCGTACGCTGAGCCATGTTTGAAACATCAAAACTCGATGTTCTCTCTTGGCTGCCTTAGATTGACTCCCATTTTTTCCCAAAAATAGCAAGATAAATACTTCCAAGGTATTCAAAAAGGTATTCAAAAAGGTATTCAAAGGAATCAAGGTCGGTATCCTTTTGTGCTTGAACTTCTTGAACTTCTTAAAATGCTCAGTAACTGCTCAGTAATTCACATCTTTGAGACAGGTGTGAGCCCGCGAGCCGTTGGGATGTCATGCCAGGGGCTGATCTGCTGATTGCTGCCATTCAACATGCATTCGACACTTGGCGACATGTAACATGTAAAAAACACTGAAAAAAACATTGTTAGACGAGTCATACTATGATGTCATACTATGATGTCATACTATGATGTCATACTATGATCTCATACTATGATGTACTGGTCATAGCTTTTCTTGCACATCCATGAGTCATCATGACTCATGATGATTCCATCAGTCATGATTCTCATGATACCTTGTGTATACCTTGTGTAATACCTTTGATATCGTTGATATCATGCGGTTTAGGGTGTGAGACCGAACACATTGGAACACCATCATCCGAGCCGCCGAGGTTGCACCTTCATGAGGAGATGGCTGTGACGCTGGATACTGCGGCCTATACAGTGCTGTGCTCGATTTTTGGTAACCTGTCACTGTAGGGATTTTGATGGAGTAGATTCCTTGGTTTTTGGGGCCTTTGACTAAAACCGCAGATGAATTACGTGACAGTACTATGTGACAATTTGTGACATAAAATGTCTTGGATTGGCAATGACAACTTGCGACCACCAGGCGCTGATGAAGTTGTATGGTCGATGCAGCCAATGGCCACGTGCCTTGGAGGCAGACTTGAACGGTAAAACCCATGGTGAAACCCTGGGAAGTCACGGAGCCTGCCTGTGCCCCCCTGGTAGGTCTTTTCCACTATGCTGCATACTGGACTCGAACCTGACACCTTTGCAGTTCGGACCTCACGATTTGTTTTGATGTTTTCTGTGCGACCTGAACAGAGATCTAGTTGAATCTAGTTGAATCTAGTTGGTAAAGTCATTTGCAATCTTTGTTGCATCATGATTTGCTGTTTTCGAAAATACTCTAGAAAATATTTTTCTCTTGCCAATAGCCCAAATAGCCAAAACTGAGGGAGATTCTCAAAAGTAAAGGCGATAATGGCTCTGAATCCTGATTCGACATCTGAATTATGATATCAAATTCAAATCGATGAATGTATTAATTTGAAAATCAAAGACAACCTTTAATGGTTTGTATTTGTTTATGAAATGTTCGAAGTTCTTCAATTCATGAAATCTGAAACTTGCACCAAGTTGGGCGCTGTTGTTGCCTGTGTACCTTGGAACCATGTCTTGGCCTTGCTGGAGGACCCAAACTTTCCAAGACATTCAAGTCGTTTCTTTTGTTCAGTGTTGAACTAGTTGAGTTTCGAAGTTTCGAAGTTTCGAAGTTTCCAACTCTGAAAAGTGCTTCAAAGTGTTTCTCTTCCATGTTTTTGTTCCATGTTTTTTCCCATTTTTTTGCCGTAGTTTTTGATGTCACTTGATCTTGCCAGGATGCGTGGCTCCACCAAAGGCATCCAAACCTGGTGGTGACCTGGTGGTGTTTGCGCGATCCGTGGTGATGCATGTGGTGATGATTTTTATGTGTATGTGATTATATATACTGTATATACATATATATATATATTATGTATATATGTATATATGATTATATATATATATACATATTCATTTGATCATGGACATTGAATCCATTGAACTTGTTGACTCTTGTTGTTTGGCACACACTTTTATGATTTCCTCCATGTAATCCATGTGGTCCATAATCAATGTGAGGTCTACAACTCTGCCATTTCTTCCTGTGGTTTGGCACAGTGGCGAGCAGCCCTGGCACTCATGGAGGTACTCTGAAGTCCGATCTGGGAGTTTCAATACCACCAAAATGGTCCAATTGTGGATGATTTGGTGGTCGAAATGTGAGATTTTGAGGAAACCTCTGAGGTCTAGGGAGGTCTCACCAAGTGATCTGAAGGATCTGGAGAAGCGTGGCTTGCAAGCTGACGCTGTGACCTGTGGTGCGCTTCTTGGTGTGCGGAAACTCACGGCAAATCTTCACACTTGGCCCGTGGCACTGGATGATTTTGATGCGACGGAATATGGATTCTCTCCATGATTGGAGGGTCCATCGTTATCTCATATTCACATAACACATATATATATATATAATATAATTATATAATATATATATATATGTATTATTATTATATATATACTATATTATAATATATATATATATGTATTATTATATATATACTATATTATATATATATTATATTATATATAAGTATCATATGATGTTCATCCATATTCTGCATAGATGTGAACTGAGGAAGTTTGGTGGCTGCCTGTGAGAAGGCCTTGGATTTTGAAGCCCTTACTGTGACCGTGGCCCATCCGCCGCCGGACCTGTCGGGACCAGGGCAGCCAGTGGCAGATGGCCATGTGGTGCCCAGCTCAGACTTCCATATCCAGATCCACATGATATTTTTTTTGGTTAAAAAACATGCCTCCTGCCGAGTTTGGCTGGTTTGAGTTTGGCTGTCATTTTCCGGATGTCGGATCATGTCGGAGTCAAACTGGCTTGTTGTCTCGTGGATTTCATCGGTTTAGATTCCACTGGTGGATTTTTTGGGGATTTAAAGTGAAGGTGATATCAATTCTATCAGTGGATGTAGATGTAATGTCAGGTAATGAATCATCATGATTTGATATTATAATACAATGTAATACATATATTACATAATTAATGATGTAATAGTGTTGATGTGATATTGTAACACGACACACACACACATATATATATGATAATACATATAAGTACTATATAATGAATAATCATGATTTAATATTGTAATATATATATACATACCATCTGGTTATGACTAACAGTTCGCCATGGAAAATCACCATTGTTTAATAGGTAAACCATCTATTTCTATGGGCCATTTTCCATCCATGAGTAGATCGGACTTCATCTCCGCCTCAAGGCTCTTCAGCTCGGAGCCTGAGCTGCGCAACGTGGTGAGTGGCTCCAGCGCCATCTCAGCCTGCGCCAAGGCCACTGGATGGTGGTTTCCTGAACTGGCACCCCCCAGTCATCCATTGATGGATTTTCCATGGATTTTTTGATGGATTTTCCATGATTTTCCATGATTTTCCATAAGAAAAACCATAAAGACCTTAGAAAAACCATCCATTTTTTGAATGATTGGGGTACCCCGATGGTGGAACTATGGTGGGTTGGATGGGATGATGGGATCCCATCTGCCCATGTTTTACCATGCTCCCAATGGTGGGTATGCTAAGAGACCTGGTTGGAATGAAAAAAATTGGAAAAGAGTGGGGGAAAATTGGAAAATATTACATCCAGATAGTGATTCAGTCAGTGACTCAGTTTTAGATTCATTTTGAATCATTTTGGGATCCGTGAGGCGAATGAAGCAGAACGTGCTATGGCCTTGCTGAAGGCTTTGCCAGGCGCATCTCCATGCGTTGAGGTCATGTGAAGTGTCACCTTCCCAACAGCTGCCCCAATCGGTAAATGGGTACCCCATTTGAACTATGGACATTTCCCCGAAATTCCGAACTTCTGAAAATCACGAAAAGTGAAGATGGACATCCCATGCTGTGCATGCTGCGCTGTGTCGATGCTGAGGCATGCAGATCCAGCCTTCTGCTGCCTCCTTCAACGCTGCCAGCACGGGTCAGCATTGGGAGACGGCCCTTCAGCTGTTGCAAGCTGCCAAGATCAACGGGATCAAGGCAGGAAACCGGAAACCGTGCCGAAGCTCGTGCCGAAGCTCGTGCCGAAGCTCGTGGATGATGGGTTAAATGGCTTGATATGCCTTGATATGGCTTGACGGGTTGTGGTTTGATGTTTGCTCCGAAATGGTCTGAAATGAAGAATAACACAACAACTATTCTAGTAATTAGTCTGAGCCTGCTGGATATCTGGATCCTGTTGTAGGCCACCTCCAAATCTTTGATGGTTCCAGGCTCAGTGAAGGGCTTGTGGTGATTTTTCTGGCGATTTAATGGTGGTTTCATGTTGATTTAATGTATCATGATGTGAATTTGTATGTTATAAGCTCCAGATGGATTATGCAGAATTATGCACTTGTAAGATTTTGTGATATCTATGGTCACAACTGAGATGTCAGGACATCGCTGCTTTCAAGTCTGAAGAAGTTTTACCCCTGCACTGCTGAGGCTCAACTGAAAGCATCCGAAAAAGGCACCTGCTCTGATTTTTCGTAGGGATTTGTGGTCTCGTTTGACTTGATGACTTGATCAGATCTCAGTCGCGACGTGTCCAGGATCCCTTTGGCAGGACGTTTTGGCCTTGCAGGGTTCCCAGACTCCCAGCCTCCGGCACCAAGGGGACCGCCTCAAAACCGTTTCAGTTCGATGTCGACATTTCTTGAAACCCTCTGACATATCCTAACCGTCCTAACATATCATGGTCGGTCCCACCTTTCTCACAGATTTGATCTTATCAAAGATAATATCATGAATCATATTGAATCATATCATATTAATAGTTAATATTTATATAATATGTTCTAATTATTTTCCAGTCACCATCTTAGTCATCCTTTCTCCTTGAAGTTCGTGCTGCTCAGGATGAGAGGCGATGTGCAGCTGGGCATTGCCATCCGTGCATGTCATCAGGTGCCAAGGGCTGGAGAAACAGTTCCTACATGCACATCATGTTACATATCATATTACACATGTTGAATGATGTTGAATGATGTTGCATGATGTTGATACATTGTCAACTTGTCAATTTTGAATCCGTTTGATGATTTTGCATCATTTTGCCACTTGTGGGCCAAGTTTCAATTGATTTCAGTTGTCCAGGCCAGCCAATGGCAACGTGCATTGACCTTGTTTTCTGCCTGGCACCTGGTATAGCGTCGTTGGTCTTTTTTTGGATTTCTTTGGAGCCGCGAAATCATGTTGAGGAGAGATGTGCAAAAGGAGTGCCAGGGCCTTACTTTGGATTCCGAGCATGGCGAATCATGTCGGAGTCCTGATGGTGATGGGGCCTTGACAGGCCGCCAGTGGAACTTTGGAATGCGGCAATGGCTGGTCAGGCGGCCATCGTTAGAGGTGTGTCAAAGTGTTACTAAAAGTGTCTCTCGACTTCAGACTCTTCTCACAAACTTTGTTTTTTTCTTCTGACACATTCAAAGCCGCAGGAAAACTGGCAACACACACTGATGCTCTTCGAAGGCGGGTCGACTTTTTTTTTGCAGATTTGCCACAGTATCCGCATTATTCATCATTATTTCATTATTTCAGGGATTCAACATATTCAACCAGCCATAACCAGCCATTCCAACCGCAAATTTTCAGGCTTGCAAAGGGTCAGGGCCTCGCCATTCGCCATGGCATTCGCCATGGGCCTCAAGGGCCTTCGACTTCACATCTGAGTTTACCTCGCCGTTGGGAGCTTCTGAGGTCTTACCTCCTGATGCCTTTTCCTGCAATCTGGCGATGAAAGCCTGTGAGATGGGTCACTTGGTCAAAGTATGGAGTACAATCTGAGCACAGTTCGGTGAGATTCATAAGATCTGTAAGGACTTTTGGATCTTTTGGGAAATCGTATGGTGAACTTGGTCAACTTCCAAATCTTCCAACTGCGTCGCAAATCGCTCACCACCAGTGCACCGTGGCGCTTGAGAGGTCAACATTGGCAGGGCACCTTGACCTTGCTTCGACAGATGCTCCAACTGCAGCTGGACGATGTGTTGACATATCACATGGCGCGGATCCTCAGGTTGAACCCCATGTGATCAGCTATCAGGGAACCTCATCAGCTTCCATGTCGATAAATGTCATCCATGTCATCCATGTGTTGCCGGGTTCCCCTTCTCCTTCTTGAGGCTTATTGTTCAATTTGCCATATGATTTGCATCCGATCCATCTGCCTGGATGATCCTGGATGATCTGGATTAGGTCATGACGACCTGCATGGAGAGTTGGAGATGGGAAACGTGCCTCAGCCTCTTGCAGGTGCACCATGGCACCAGCATGTCATGTCGGTTTCAACAGATTTTTATGATATTTCATGATATTTTGTGATATTTCATGATATTTCATGTTCCTTTCCATTTCCCCAACTTGCAATGATGAATGATATCAACTTATCTCCCTCATTTTCTTTCATATGTGTTTAAAACATGGGTTTAAGTCGTGGGTTGAAACAGTGAAACCACCGATGAATTGAACTCCAGGATCTGGAAAGCAGTGGTTCTGAACCAGGCTTGATGACCTATGGCCCTGCTGTCCCTTGGTTGAACCTGGCCGCATCGAGACAGCGATGACAGTGCGATGTGGGACCAGGTTGGTGCCTGCTTGCGGACCTTGCAATGGGAGCATGCACTTCTACTAGGCCTGCGACCTATAAAAACATTTCTCAAGATCTTTCACCGTCACTGCTCCAGAAACATGAGGGATATAGAAATATCATCCATAGATATCATGAACAAGTCAAAATAGAAGTCTTGTTGAGCTGACGGCATCACTCACTATGTTCCGCTTCATGACTTTTTTGACGATCTCGGCAGTGCGGCATTTGTGGGCGAAGACTTTGACACCGGACACCACCATGTGCAACGCCGTGATCACGGTGTCCGGATTGCTCAGATCCTGTCAGATTCTGTCAGATGCCAACTGCAACAGTTGGATTTCATTGGATTTCTGGGTCACAGCCACAGTTCAAGATGTTGTACCAGATTTAGAGAATTATAGATATAGATGGCGACCTCGAAGGATGTTAGACCTTGTAACCTTTTGGATGTAATCTTTTGGACCATTTTTCATGGCATATTTGTTTTACCAGGTCAGACGGCAACGGCTGAGGTGTGAACGATCTGGAAGATGGGTCCTGCTCCCAACTCCGCAGAAGGTTCAGAGTGCAAGATTAGACTGATTAAAAAGGATACCGCGGGCTGTGATTGGGCCTCTGAACCTAGGCATGGGCTTTACAACTTCTACAAGAAATGGGTGACTTGGCAGGACCTTTTCTGGGAAGGTGCTGAAATATTCGAAGAAAATCCAGGGAATCTAACGTTGGTACTTGTGCCATGTCGCATGGAGAGGTGATGGCAAGTCTTTGTGATTTGGTTCGTTTTTTTTTGGGAAGTTGATTAGATCAGGGGAGATGTTCTAAAGTCACCTAAAGTCGGTTATTCTCGAGACTGGCAAAGGTTGCAGTGGACCTACACCAGATGTCACTACGCCACTTGGTTTTGCACTGGAGCTGATGACACCCACATCTAGCTGGGGACATTGGTCGCTTGTGACCCTAATCACTGTTTCTACGTTTTGAAGTAAAAAAGATAGGGTCACAAGTGACCAGGTGTGCTCGAAGTCCCACACCTGCCACACGAAAATGGTGCGGCCCCTTTGTGGTCGCCTGTGACCCTATTCGTGCCCGAAGCATGATTTTTGGAGGAAGTCTCGCAGAAAAGCTTCGTTTTTGAGTTTCGTAGCTTCATTTTTGAAGGAAGTCTCGCAGAAAAGCTTCGTTTTTGAGTTTCGCAGCTTCATTTTTGAAGGAAGTCTCGCAGAAAAGCTTCGTTGTAGAGCTTCGAAGCATCATTTTTGAAGGAAGTCTCGCAGAAAAGCGTCGTTTTAGACCTTCGAAGCTTCATTTTTGAAGGAAGTCTCGCAGAAAAGCTTCGTTTTAGAGCTTCGAAGCTTCATTTTTGGAGGAAGTCTCGCAGAAAAGCTTCGTTTAAGGGCTTCGAAGCTTCATTTTTGAAGGAAGTCTCGCAGAAAAGCTTCGTTTAAGGGCTTCGAAGCTAGGTTTTTGAGTTTGGAAGCTTCAGTTTTGAAGGAAGTCTCGTAGAAAAGCTTCGTTTTAGAGCTTCGAAGCTTCATTTTTGAAGGAAGTCTCGCAGAAAAGTTTTTGTGTTTGAGTTTCGAAGCTTCATTTTTGTAGGAAGTCTCGCAGAAAAGCTTCGTTTAAGGGCTTCGAAGCTACATGTCATTTATTTATCTATCTATCTATCTATCTATCTATGTATCTATCTATCTATCTACCTATCTAATTATCTATCTATCTATCTATCTATCTATTTTTCTTTCTATCTATCTATCTATCTATCTCTCTCTCTATCTATCTTGTTATCTTATCTTATCTCATCTTATCTTATCTTATCTTATCTTATCTTATCTATCTATCTATCTATCTATCTCTCTATCTCTCTCTATCTCTCTATCTATCTATCTCTCTCGCTCTCCCTTTCTATCTTGTTATCGCTGTATCTCTTTACCTCAACTTCTAAAAACGGTCCGAACATGGTGTGTTTTGTACATGTTGACTCTCTCTCTCTCTTTCTATCTCTTTATCTCTCTATCTCTCCATCTCAACTGCTAAAGGCGGTCCGAACATGTTGGTTTTTGTGCATGTTGACTTCGAAATGGACGTCACGCCACAACGGCGTGCAATTTTGTATTCACGTCGCTTCGCGACGGCAACCGCCCGCACCGCATCGTTGGGCAGCCGCTCGTAACTGCCAATGATGTCGGCCATTGAGACCAAAAACATCCGAAAGTACTGATTGTCGGAAAAAAAAACGCGAAGAATTTGATAGCCATGTATAGCGGACCAACGCAGTTCAAAAAATAACGAAAAACATGAAAAAAACGGCGAAATTGCTGTTATTTACAGTGTTTTTGCGCGGTGAGAAGCAGAAACCACTGCAAATACCATGGTTTTTGAGGGTCAGGTGGCCAAAAACACTGTAATTTACAGTGTTTTTTTAACCAACGTCAAAAAACACTGGTATTTACGATGTTTTCATTCACACCGTAACATAAAACAGCGTAATTTACGAGGTTTTTGGAAGTTTTGAAGCTAGCCGTCAAGCATGCAGAAAACAGAAAAACACTGTAAAAACCAGTGTTTCTGCTATCACAAAACGACGAAAATCAGTCCGAAAATGGGTCCAAAAACTCAAAAATCTGCCTCCGGGCCCGGCCACCAGCGGAACCGCAAAAAAAGATGTTGCAAACCAAAAAATTGAGGTCAAAAAGTTGAAAAACACGGTTTTTTTTCACTTTTCACTTGCCGATTTTGGACGGGCGCGTTCACGAACAGGTGTCTTCCGTACTGTTTTTTACAGTGTTTTTTGAAGGCGAGCGTCACGACCTATCAAAAACAGGAGGTTTTGGCCGAAAAATGCCCCCCCCCCCCCAGGTAAACCTGTAACCTTTTACGAGTGCCATCCGGACGATCACGCCCCAGCACCTTCGGTGCGGGCGGATTTCTCATCTGGGCAGCTGGCTCCGCGCCCGCCGCTGTAGCGAGCTTACTTGTCGACCCTCCGGAGCCACAAGGCATTGGAAAACACTACCTTTTGGCTCCTCTGCATCTTCTTTCTTCTGACTCGTTCTCTTCTCTGATCTGCTCTCTTCTACTCTTCTCTTCTCTCTGCCTCTTCCCATCTCTGCTTTTCATCTGCCCATATTGTCGGAAGTTTGATTTCGAAACTTCCTTCGATAATGCAAAATATATTCACGAAGAAAGTTATACACAGACAAACTCGCGGCCAGACAATTATACAGAAAGTTGCGGCCAACCTTAGCAATCCATGCGTCGGTGATGCACTGAATTTCACCACCATTGACAATGGTATAGTATGATAGTATACTGTTATATCCATGCATGTCCATCTATTTGTCCATTAGGGCATTAGGGCATATCCATTCACATTGTACATGGGTTGTACAAGTCTCGTGACCTTCCAATATGTTGCACTGTGGTGCTCAAGTGATTGCTGAAATCCTGGGAGAAAGATTAGTTTGTGAAGTTCATGCGCGCACTTGCGCTAAAGAACTTTCAAATCGCATGTGCCAAGTTGCAGTCCTCAATTGTGCCAAATTTGGTATTGTGTCGTCCGCAGTGGCATTTTGCCAAGGCAGAAGGTGGGTGCAGCATCACGTAGACAAGAAACATATAGTTACGTATTAGGCTTCAATCTGCTTCATGTCGTATCACCGTAACGAGTCAAGTAATGATGTAAGTACGATGATCCGTCCCCCCTAACCAAACCCTAAATGGCTGAGTCAAGTAATGATGTAAGTAGAATGATCCCTCCCGCCCAACCAAACCCTAAATGGCTGAGTCAAGTAATGATCTAAGTTGAATGATCCCTCCCCCCCAACCAAACCCTAAATGGCTGAGTCAAGTAATGATGTAAGTAGAATGATCCCTCCCCCCCAACCAAACCCTAAATGGCTGAGTCAAGTAATGATGTAAGTAGAATGATCCCTCCCCCCCAACCAAACCCTAAATGGCTGAGTCAAGTAATGATCTAAGTTGAATGATCCCTCCCCCCCAACCAAACCCTAAATGGCTGAGTCAAGTAATGATGTAAGTAGAATGATCCCTCCCCCCAACCAAACCCTAAATGGCTGAGTCAAGTAATGATGTAAGTAGAATGATCCCTCCCCCCCAACCAAACCCTAAATGGCTGAGTCAAGTAATGATCTAAGTACAATGATCCCTCCCCCCCAACCAAACCCTAAATGGCTGAGTCAAGTAATGTATAACCCCTCCCCCCCAACCAAACCCTAAATGGCTGAGTCAAGTAATGATCTAAGTACAATGATCCCTCCCCCCAACCAAACCCTAAATGGCTGAGTCAAGTAATGATGTAAGTAGAATGATCCCTCCCCCCCAACCAAACCCTAAATGGCTGAGTCAAGTAATGATCTAAGTACAATGATCCCTCCCCCCCAACCAAACCCTAAATGGCTGAGTCAAGTAATGTATAACCCCTCCCCCCCAACCAAACCCTAAATGGCTGAGTCAAGTAATGATCTAAGTACAATGATCCCTCCCCCCCAACCAAACCCTAAATGGCTGAGTCAAGTAATGATCTAAGTTAAATGATCCCTCCCCCCTGCAAATTTGAAGTTCCATGCATCCCTGGTGGCATCAGCAACAGCAATTTGCCTGACAACAGTGTCATGGCCCAAAGTCAGCTTGGAGCTTAGACCCTTTACTCGGCGTGCTATCCGGAAAAGCAGCCAGTGCTCTTTCGCAGTGCTCAGACATTTGCGATCCATTTAGCACTAGGTTCCTTTAGATCAACTCTTTCTGTTGACCAGTGTTGGACCTAAAATCCACACTGGCAGCGGAGCCTGTGAGATCAGGTGACGCTCAAAGTAGAGCATCAGTGTGACGCAATGGCAATTGAGGCAACCATCAACCCAAAGTTGCCCACATGGAGTGGGGATTGGCTTCAATGGCCAGACTACAAGTTGTCGGTAGAATTGGAAGCGGATGCAACTTCCAAAGACGACCTCAGCAGACTTGCTCCAAAGTTGTGAGAAACCTCACCGGAAAGGCATGGGAGACAGCGGTTGGCCTTGAGAGAGAGAAATTGAAAAGTGAAGATGGAGTGAACTATTTGCTTTCCTATTTGGAGGAGAAACGAGGCCGCCAAAAGGTTGATGTCCTCGGAGATGCTCTTGGAGTCTATTTCCAAAAGAGCGAGATAGTGCGAAAAGATGGTGAGGTTTGGAATGACTTCGAAGCTCGCCATGCGGCTAAAGTCCGAGACATCAACAAAGCTCTGGTCGCAGTCGGCGCAAAAGGTGATACTCCAAGTGAAATCTGGGGTTGGTTCCTTTTGCACCAGTTTGTCCGCCTTGAGCCCTCCGACGTGGCCACCGTGAAGTCTTTTGCCAAGAACTACCAGCTTGATGAAGTCTGTAGAGCCATGCGTCAACTATGGGGAGGTGATAGCCTTGCTCTCCGTGACCAGGAGCGCAAAAAGGCAAAGAACAATGTCAAGGTTTTGATGAATGAGCCCAACACGCCTGATGACAATGGCATTTGGTTAGGATCTCCAGATCTTGACGGTGAGGAAGTGAATCATGAAGATGATCCGGATCTCACTGAGGATGAGATCTCAGTCTTGTTTGATGAAGCATGCGAGGCCCTTCATGAAGACCCTACTAACCCAGTAGTCCTTGCCAATTTCCAAGAGATGAAGAAGTTGAAGTACACGGAAGCCAGGAAGGCTCTGGACCGTAGCCGAACAGCCCGTGGATTCTTTCCCAACAGCACCCGAAGCAGCACGTCCATGAACTCCCGCACAAGGAAGCCACCACCTTTTGATGGTCTTTGCATGCGGTGCGGAAAACATGGCCACAAAGCCAGAGATTGTCTGCAGAAGGCTGCTCCTTCAAACTCTCGTCGTGAACCAGCTGCTGGAAAGATT